CCCTGGATTGAGTCAGAACAAGATAAATCCTGCTTTTTTCTTGAACATAATAATAGGTGTTCAATAAATGCTGGTTGAACTAAGGAGTCTACTCCTTAAGGCACCCAGGCTCTAATAAAAGAAAGACATCAATAGGGCTTGGACAAAGCATTTTAGAAACAAGGCACAGAAAGCCACTCAAATACACCCAGGTAAAAAGCAGACAAGTGAAAGGATCTCATGGAAACAAAGTACAGAAAAGAGAGCTGAGCCTCGCAAGTTGACAAGGAGCTGCTGTGCCCCCTCCCTCTGGGGGATCACGTGACCTCATGTTGCTGTTTGTGCTTCAGTTCTCCTCTGTCAACCCCGGACCTTGGCTCCATTAGCCCAAAGCCCGCTGAGATCACCCAATAAAAGTGGCCTCTGTTTATTGCTGGGAGAAAGTTTAATGGCTCACCTTGGGGGAAGCGGGGAGCTAACATCATAAGATTGGTATAACAAACAGCCTCATCTGGGGCTGCTGCAAAGGACTAGGATCATCACTACCAATGATACACACGGGCTCTGCTGAGTCAAGTGACACCCCCCCAAGAAAGTAAAATTCATGCATAAGTATGAGTCATAACAAACTTTATTTCAGAATGTCTACAGGACTGAATTTCAGAGCTATACTACTCATTTATAGCTCTAAATCACAATAACACTGAATCAAAAATACTTCATACCTCACAAAAAAGGGGCCTGAGAAATGTTCATTTGAATTTAACTTATGTTTCACATTATACAACTGTACATATAAAAACACTTACACAATTGAGGGAGACAATGACTTCTAGATCAAAAGAAAGCATGTGTGGCAACATCTCACTTACCTTGAGGTCAAAGATTTGACAACTGAAGTTGAGAATCAGGAAGTTACAGTAAAATAACATCACCAAGTCAAGGCAGCATGTCCTGAGAAAAAAGTCTCTCAGAGCCTCGTTTAGGTTCTGTTTACTGTTACTGGACACAGAGTATGCAATGACATAATTTCCCAGTCCCATAAAGAAGGAGATGAGGGTTCCTAGAGGCAGGTGAGAGTAACGGCAGAGAGAAAGGTAACAGGTAACAGTGAGTGAAAACACACCCTGCAAAAACCACTGCAGATCTCAAAGAGCAGAGTCATTCACGGTAGGGGCTTTAACAAACCCAAATAGGACCTGAAAGAGTGAAAAACATAAGTGATGACCTTAATTGTTTTCATTATTTTTAGTAGATTGTTTGCAAAAGCAGGGAAATATATACTAAATTAAGTGTTACAGTGTAAATGATTAAAATACAAAAAAAGACGTGCAACTTAAAAGAATAACCTCGACGTGCCTATACCATGCACCCTACAATGTCTGACAAAAAGGATATTACTACATATACACTGCTTATAAAATACACAAAGCAATTTATATAAAAAGAATAGAGCACCTTTTTTTTACCCACATATGACTGAAACCGTAAAAGACCCTTCATGGTAAAAGCACCTTAATCACATAAGGGTAGCTAAAGTCAGTTCATCTCAGCATAAGAACTTTATGTTTTGTCCTGAATGGTCAACTGTATTGATCAGTGGGCCCAAATGATTGCAAAACCTTTTTGCATGATAGGAGACACGGAGGGCAAAAACGCTGTCCCGAAATCAGTGTTTCTCAAAATATGGTCTGTGGAACAGCGCAGCTGAATCTCCTGGTGAACTTGCTTTAAAATGCAGATCCCCTCGGTCCCAAATGAGATTTCATGAATCAGAATCTTTGGCGGAGGGCCTGGGAACCTGAATTTAGCACACCTCCCCCGAGGATTTCTGATTCAAGGAGAAGTGTGGGAATCACTGGACAAAATCATTGCCTCGAGATTTAGGCCCAGCCACACCAGGTCAGGAGGAGACTGGCCTGGTCTGTGAATTAACCCCTTCCCACATGTTCCTAATATGCCCAGTAAGGCAGTACTCCTGATTTTGACATCTCTACATTTTTTCTCACAGGAAAAGGATTCTGACATATTATAAAAATAAGGGGCGCCTGGGTGGCGCAGTCGGTTGAGCGTCCGACTTCAGCCAGGTCACGATCTCGAGGTCCGTGAGTTCGGGCCCCGCGTCAGGCTCTGGGCTGATGGCTCGGAGCCTGGAGCCTGTTTCCGATTCTGTGTCTCCCTCTCTCTCTGCTCCTCCCCCGTTCATGCTCTGTCTCTCTCTGTCCCAAAAATAAATAAATGTTGAAAAAAAATTAAAAAAAAAATTAAAAAAAATAAATAAACTCTAACAAGCTCTAATTAATGTTAAAAAGAGCATAATAATTCTAACACATATATGTGAAGCTTGAAGTAATGGATGCCTGCAGAAGGCTTAAAAAAAAAAAATATTGAGAGAGGATAAGTGTCTGAAGCAACTCCAGAGGATTTCTTGGGAATGGGAGGAAAATACATTTCAAAGCAGTCTTGGAGAAGAGACAGAATGTAGCTTCCATCCAGAGTGGGGAAATGCAAATCAATTAAAAACTGACTGGGATGTTTAGGCTGGGCCTTGACACTCTTGAGGCAGAGGCCGGAAACTACTGGAAAACATGTTTGGTTTGGCCAGCACAATGTTTTAAACAATTCTGAATTACTGCCAGCATGTAAAAATTGGGAGAATTCTTTTCTTTAAAAAAAAGTCTGTCTTTTCCTATAAAACAGGAAATTAGAGTTAACTAGAAAAAACAGCCACATGGCAACAGTGTGTGAGAGCTGGGCAGCAGCTGTCCACCTTTAAACAGACACGTGTTCCCAGGGTCTCCCAAGGCGCCACCAGCCTGCCTGACTCATCAGATCACCTGCCAGGTCCCCAAAGCCATTTGCACTGGCCACCCTGGTTTTAAGGAATTAGCAAAAATTCGTCCTCTTTCTGCTTCATTCTTTCAATTTCTTTTTTTTAAGTTTATTTATTTATTTTGAGAGAGTACAGGGAGGGGCAGAGAGAGAGAGAGAGAGAGAGAAAGAGATTGAATCCCAAGCAGGCTCCGCACTGTTAGTGTGGAGCCCGATGCGGGGCTCAAACTCATGAACCATCACCTGAGCTGAAACCAAAAGTCAGACACTTAATTGACTGAGGTACCCAGGCACCCCACTCTTTGTATTTCTAACAAAAATTCTTGCTACAAATATCCTTTCCTACCTCAGAGGTGTTAAGAAAGAAATCAGATAATGTCTGAAAATCACCAAAAATTCAGTCTAGTGTTCGCATCCCTAGTTACCAGTGGGAACCACCTACGGAGCTTTAAAAAGTATGGATGAATGCCTGGGTTCCACCCAGAATCTCCAAGATTCTGATGTATTTATTGCTCTAGGATGTACCCTCATCAGCAAAAGTGCATAACGTTCCCTAGGTGATTCTAATGAACACCAAAAGCTGAGAACTCCTCCTTCAGAGGATGTAGGTTGTTGGGTAGGATGCATTAGGTTTATTTCAGTGTCATACGGATTTCTAACCTCTCACCTCTGTGATCATTTACATGGCCTCTTATTTTTCGAAATGGGCTATTATTCCAAAAGCCTACCAAATGCCGCTGACAAACTGGAAAAAGAAGTCAAAGTTTTGTTCTGGTTTCTACCATTCATTTTCTCTCCAACACACCTGAAGAATGAGACACTAAGAAAATGAGGAGAGATTATCCTAAAAGACAGAACTCGAGCAGCACAAACAGCTCAAATACAGTAAGAAGAAGCTCACAGTGGCAGGCTTGTATAAAAAATAAAATTGCTTTGATATTCATCACTGCACTAAGTGGAAAAATTTTCAAATATTAAAAAAAAAGAACAATTTCCCCAAGACTTCCCAGTAATGGCCCAATTTTTATCTTAAGCAGATGAATTCCAAATTACTGCCTCTCTTCAAGCTTCCTATTAGGTAGTGTGCACTTATATTTTGGCTTCCAATCATGGTAAATGCAAACTACTGTCACCTAATTTTCAAACAGTAATACTACCTCATATTACATTTGAAAAGTACATTTTCAAAATGGTTTCACATAGTAATGGCGTCTAGGTACTAGACTTCTACGATGCAACAGGTAGCGTACGAGGCACTCTATACACACAATCCCAAATCGATCCGACCACCTCACAAAGTTAATTCTATAACCTCGTTGTGCAATGAAAAAGAAGGAGCTTTGGAAAAATTGAAAATTATGTAGATGATCAATCATTGAGCTAGTAGGTGGTAACACTTGTTCTGTCAAATTCCCAAACCTGTGCTTTTCATACTAAACTCCCTTCCTTGTCTAATCATCACTACACAGAACACCTGTGCCCAGGTAGCCCCACTTGCCAGGGAAACACAGAGAGGTTCATGCTGCGTTCCATGTCACATAATGCCAAAGTCACCCCCTGCCTTCAAGCTCTCCAACCCATGTTCTTTCAGAAGACCAAATCATACTGTGGACAGGTTACATTATAAAAGCCATACTGGTGACAGTTAAGTAGTACTTATGGGTAGACATTAAATGCTCTCAATTTCTGAGAACCAAATGTTACTCTAAATGTAGCCTAGCTTCAACACTGGCCTGGTATATTCCTTTCTGTTGTAGGACACTCATGCATCAGGCATCAGGTTTAACTCCTTTATCCGTCCCAGAATCTTCTCATGAATCCCATGAGCAATGAGGCTGATAACATATGGGCACCAGCACCACTCGCCAGGCCTCCAGCCTGTCCTTGGTTTCCCTGACACTGTCACCAGGCAGTCAGCAGGACATCCTGAAGAAGGGCAGATGTCACCTTCTATGGTTTTTTTTTTTCCTTTATTTGTAAATCATAAAGAGACTGTGCCATAAAAATCCAGCTAGCAGGTCTCAGGTCCATGAGTGCCACTATCTGAGGCAGGCTCCCAGGGGAGTGTATCATTTCATGTCCTGGAAGGAGGGTCTCCTCTTCTTGAAGCTGCCAACAGTGTATCCTTAAAGTTGGATTTCAAAAACTGCATCAGTGATGTGTTGGGGCCAAGAAGTGACTCTTGAGCAAATTAGGACAACACAGGTCCCCTGCAAGAGAAAGCAAGTTGGCTTTATCACCTAATAAACAGGTCTCCCCAATCAATACTTATTTGCCTCTTTTCTAAAGCAACTCTTAAGGGTCACTTGAATTCCATCACTGTGGATAATTCTGCCTCCTAATGATCTTCGAACAAAGCCAGCACCTTATTTTATAAAGTCCAGCTACCCAGAGGAGCTGGTTCAAAGGGGAGTTAAGATATAGCTAAAACGGAGGTCTTAATCTTTCCAGCGTGAAGGAACTCTGCTATGTGATCAAACCTCACCGAGCTGTGTCTCCCCACTGCCAGCGGCAAGAACAAACAGATGTCAGGGCTATTTGTTTTATTCAAAAATGACAGGAAATCAAAAATCTATCAAACGGATGTGTCAGCAGCAACTCTACAAGCATATTGGTTACTGAGATGTATGTGCCTCCATTTTGGTTCATGATAAAATCACCTTCTAAGCTTTCTAATTTTCAAATGCCCACATGGATACACGGCCAGAGAGTTCTGGGGAGTATCTTTAGGACTGGGCACCATATCCAAGGTGGCCACATTCTATGTGAATTTAAATCATGCAAATTTGAAATGTGGTAGGATATAAAAATAGTAAATAATGTCTCCCTATGCGCATTCGTGCAAACCCCCATGGAATGATGTTGTTGTTGTTGTCGTTTTTAAGAACTGCAAAATTCCCCAACTGGCAAACTGAGTACACTGACTGTACCCAGCACCTACACCACTGCCACATCACAGTGCTGCTACCTTATCTGCTACACAAAATGCTTACATTTCTACTCCATTATGCACGTGCACTGGAACTTCATGAGCAATTTTAATGATCACTGCCTCTGATATTTTAACTTCACTGTTGTGATCATTTCAGTGCTTTTTTATGTCTTAAAATAAAATCAGCCGAGGGGTGATGTTAAAGCTAATACAGACAAAATAAACTATTAACTTTGGAATATAGGTAAGGTTATCAAATGCAATGTAAAAAAGGCTAAACAACCACTACCAGGTTCCCTGGTCTTAATTTAGGAGAGGGCACGCTCACAACCTACAGGACAGAAAGCTTTTTCTTAAAGGACAATAAATATTTTAAGTTTTGCTGGAGAAGAGCTCTCTGTCACAGCTATTCACTCTGCCGTTGCAGCCATAACAAAGCCAGGGACATAGCTGTGTGCCAATAAAACTTTATTTACAAAAGCAGAGAGCAGGTTGGGTTTGGCCTGAGGGCAACAAGTGACTGACCCTTCTTCTACAGCCTTAGCCCTGATACCTGCCCCCCTTCCGTTTAATGTGGCATTTTATTGCTCATAAAAACAGTAGTTCCCCCAACCCACAACCATTCTCCCATTTTCCATAGAGCCACTTTTGAAAACAGAAGAAGTCCCATTAAAACAGGCACATTTCAAGCTTGCCAAAACTTTGTAATAGTCAAGAAAAAAAGGGAAGCAACAAACTGGCAAAAACACGGCAGCACCACAAAGCCATAAAGTGTTGTATGTTATGATTTTTTGTGATGCTTATGTAACTACACCTATTTGTCAAAACTCACCAAAATGTACACTTGGGATTGGTGAATTTAATTGTACATGCATAATACTTCAATGAGGTGGACATTGAAAAAAAAAAAAAAGCTTTAAAGCCTCAGCTACAAGCTCTAATTGGCAGTAACTGTAAATTCATGTGGTAAAAGTATATTCCCCTTACTTTCCATTTACCGCCCTGAGACACCCGGTCATGAATTACAACAGTCTGAATTAGGTAAATCCTTCAAACACTCTGTTGCATTAAATGCCCTGAATGCAACTGTCCTTCACAGACACTTCACTTGAAAGAGAAGAGCGAGTTGTTTCTAGAAACAATAAAGAGCCCTGATCAGCTTTCAACCACAGTAAAAACAAAACAAGCAAACCCACAAGAACATGCGTATTTGTGACAACCAGTAAGGCTTGTTTAATCTGCTCATTTCACTAACAGCATTTTAAATCAAAAACACAAGTTGGTGTGAGTCTCATCTCTGTTCTTTTCAGTCGTCTTTACACCACTGTGGAGCTTGTCCACATTTAAGCAGGGGGAAAAAAAAGCAGTTAAACAAGCACCGAGACCCTAAAATCAGGGAAAAACCACACAAGAAGATCATTCCTCTGATTAATCTAAAGTCAACAGACTGCATGACAACAATTTCAAAACCCCAGCTATTAGCTTCCTCGGTGCCCTTATATTTAATCTGTCTTCATTCAGAGATAAGACCTCATTTAGAGCAATCGTTCTCAAAGTGTGGTCCCTGGACCAAGAACAGCAGCATCACCTGGAAACCTGTTAGAAACACAAATCTTAGGACCCGACCCCAGACCTACTTACACAGAAACTGAGAGTGGGGCCCACCGATCTATGCTTAACAAATCCTCCAGAGGATTCTGAGGTTCAGTGATGTTCCAAAATCATTAACCTGAAGTTTGGAAACCAGCGTATAGTTGTAAGTGGAGTCCCTTCCCAGTCTTTCATTTCACTTGGAGCTGACTTTAGATCCCACCCTCCAGGATAAGAAGGGATCTGCACCCAGGTGCTTTGTGAGCCTCACAAAAATGCTTCATAAAAATGTTCTCAAAGAGCAGAGTGGATTTAGGAACAGACCATATTTAGATCCCATTTCAACATTTTTTGAGCACCTGCCATGTGCCATGCTTGTGCTAAATGGAATTATCTTATTTAGCCTCCCCAGTAATGAATAAATCTATTCATAGATCTGCCAGCATGCACTCAGTGCTGAAGTACTTGTACATAAATGTTCATTTTGTTTTTTCTTTGGTTAATTGTTCTCAAACTTTATTCTAGATCACAATTAGAGTCCAAGGTTGCTTGTACAAAACTATGTGTCCTACAATTTTAAGCCAACATAAGGGAAATCTGAGGTAATGATGAATTACCCAAGAGAGCGTTTGCTTTACTCAATGGCTTTACCTTCCCTCACATGTTAAAAATTTAACTCCAATAAATTTGGGAAGATGCAAATCCATTACACTCATTTATTTTAGGCTTTGGTTCTCTCTTAAATAACTCTGGTCTGTCCTTTCCACTATGGACACCCTTCTTCATGCAGACAATAAAAACTTAAGAAAAAAAAATTAAGCAAGTCTAAACTCCCCCTGCCACCTGTGAACCCTACAGCATTTGTCTTACACTAGAGACGGTATGAGCTCTAGCACTAGCGCTTTCTCCCATCCTCTGTCCGTGGCCAACATTGCTAATCACTCAGGCACCCTTACCCAGAGCCTGATATTATGCTCAAAATGTCAGAATCCTTCTCAATAGCATTTCAGGCAGCCACTGCCAACCAGAGGAAGTATATACATGACTAACAAAATACAGTTATTTCACTGGCCAATCAAAACATGCCCCTTCCTTGTTTTCCTTCCTACTTCAAAGACAGCTTTAACCCTCTCCTTCCATTGTCCCCAGAACAATAAAATTAAGGTTCAGTTAATCCTGCACCGAAGTCTACAAATCTATGGCACCTTGCAGATCGTAATCACGCTGGATTGTGCCGAGCGGTTTCAACAATTTGAATGCCGCTGTAACCCAGCACGAGGTACAAAACTGCTCTGAAAATCAAAGAACTAAGTAAATGAAGGTACTGAACAGAAAACGAAACACCTGTGAGACAGGATCCTCTGCATATAACTGGGAAATGTACAGCATGAACAGCCCAGGGAGGCTGACGCACAATACAGGGCTTAAGAGCCTAAAAACATGGCTGGAGGAAAGAATTCTGATTTTGTTTTTGGTACTCACTGCGGATTCTTTATTCAGCTAAGGGGGCACCACACTGTTCCTTTAGCAGCATCTCCATTATTCTAATTCCCTAGAGAGAGAAGAAAGAAAAATCAAAATGCAACAAGCACTTTTACATTTATCACAGCCCTTTCCCTCCAAGGAATCCAAGTCATGGCCATATACTCATTCCAGAAAAGTAGGCTCATGGTCATACCTTACATTTTTATAGTATTTTTCTCACCAAGTTCACATACATTTTCTCTACATGTGCTCAGAACTACTCAAGGGAAGTGGGCACAGGAGAGTTTAGAATCTCCATTTTAAACATAAGAAAGCAGTCCAAGAGAACACAAGTAACTTCTCAAAACACAGGTCCAGCTGCTAAGTGACATTGCCAGAACTGAAATAATAATGGTAATAATTAGTGTTTATTGAGCATTTATAAATGTGCTATGCTGGCTGCTCAGGTTTTCACGAGCACCATCCTGGGCAGTGGCACCATGGACACCCTTCCGGCCTCTCGGCTCCCTTTCCCCACCTGCCAGCACTGTAGGCTGCTAAGGGCACAGAGCCCTCAGCCAAAGGCAGCTGCCTAAACTCAGGTCACGTCTCCTCTCCAGGAGCAACCCACATCCAACGACTGGTGGACATAGGGGTCTAAAGGCCCAGCTCTCTTCCCTTAACTCCAGAAACCAGTGAAGGGCACTCCATGTCTAGAAGTCCCCATGGGATCAGCTGAGACCTTCACTGCAACATTACCACGGTTCACATTCACCTCCTGCATAATCCTGTCTCCCCTATTCCCCTGGTAGAGTTGTTTCTGAGGGCCCTGTCCAGTAACCCTCTGCACAAAAGTCTCCGTCTCAGAGTCTGTGTCTGGAGAGCTGGCCTCGGATGCCTTATTTAATACACACAAAACCCCAGAACAAGTACAATTCTTACTTCCATTTTACAGATGAAGAAACAGTAACTCCAAGAGGTTTAAGCAATTTTCCCAAAGTCATACATCTGTTGAGCAATAAAGCAGGGCAAGAACACAGGCACTCTATTCGGGCTTCAGAGGCTCCCCTGACCCTTCCCACGTGCTCACTCTGTGACTGCACATGCCGACCTGTCACCCACCAGCCAGTCAAAATCAACTCTGGAGGAAAGAGGAAAGCAGATATTCCCTCCCTTCTCCTTCAAGACCAAGTTGTGCAGACAAGAGGATAAATCTTCAGATAGAAAGACAGGGTGATGGTGTAATTATGAACAAAGGTTTTAAGGAAGTCAGAGCTGGATCTGGTGGAATGGCAGTCACTGTTCTCAGGGATGGGAAAGGAGTTTACAGGGAACACTAATGACCCAAGCTAACCTAAAACACAGGTCCCCAGGGGCGCCTGGGTGGCTCAGTCGGTTAAGCGTCCGACTTCGGCTCAGGTCATGATCTCACGGTCCGTGAGTTCGAGCCCCGCATCGGGCTCTGTGCTGACCACTCAGAGCCTGGAGCCTGTTTCAGATTCTGTGTCTCCCTCTCTCTCTGACCCTCCCCCCGTTCATGCTCTGTCTCTTTCTGTCTCAAAAATAAATAAACGTTACAATATCAATCAATCAATCAATCAATCAATAAAACACAGGTCCCCAGGCCCCTCACAGAAGACTCTGACTTAATAGGACTCAAGCAGGCCCCAGAGTTCTGTACCTTTAACAAGCACCCAGGTGATTCTCATGATCAGGCAGGTCCCGAAAAACACTGAGTGAGCCACAAGAGAAAGACAGGGGCTTCCTACCAGGGATTTATTCTGCACCACAACAAGAAGGGAGCCTCTAGAGAAGACCATAAAATATACTGAGTACCAAAGTACACAAAACAAAATGTAACGTTTCCTTGAGGTTTCAGATGGTCCTTTAGATTGTGGCTAGCCATCGCCACAAACACTGCCACTGTCCTGCAAGAAAAAAGCACCAAAGGATGCAGATTGAATGCTGAGGAGCACGGAGAGGGGGCAGCAAGCTCCAAGACCAGGAGCACTGCTATCAGGGTGGAGAGAGG